GTAAGTCTTTCTACGACAGACCAACGGACCACGAGTGCCCCTGTCGGTCAACCAATCACGTACCGCGGTACCCCGCATCATCTTGCGTCACGCGACGCCGCAGCCAATTACCTCCGGTACATGTCTGTACTGCGCACTTTGAATGGCTGCATCTGTACTTGCACCAGCAGTGCCTCATGCCCTGCTGTTCCGCTTCAGACTGGCTCTCCCACTACCAAGCCTCCACACAAGGAGACCTGATTGCACATTTCCTATCTCACCTGGGGTTGGCTTGTTCTCCACTCTGGGAGGCGTTCAGTAGAATTTGTCGAGACTGATCAATGGTTACAGGAAATGTTTAGTTTCAGTCATTCCTGCTTCAGGGGGTGCCACCAGTTACTGAATCTAAAGGTTCATATAGTTTGTCACACATGAATATTGAATTTGAAGATAAATGTTGAAAGAATATCAAATTATATTGTGTAATTTGTTTTATTATTAGGATTAAGATCCAATATAATTTAAAAAATGTGAAAATCCTAAAGGGCTCACAATCATTTTTTACACTTTGTCTAAATTCCAACCTTTTTGATATATATCAGAGAATTACATTTGCTTTTAATTACTTCCCTGTATTAACTTGATGAAAGCATAGAAGAGTCTATATTAACATACAGATCCATTCCATAAGTAGCTTTCTGCAACTCAGAGTCACCAATGCAATAGGTCCATAAGCCCTATATTTCCTTTGATATTTGAGTTTTCCTTCTCTTGTTTATTTGCATTATCTGCAAATTTAAATATATTTTTATGGACACCGAATCTATATAAGCTTAAAAGTTTAGTTCTAACTTTTGTTTCTATACTCTCCCTTTTAGTATGAATTTAAACCTGATTAATGCGATTATTAGAATATTATGACTTTGACATTTCTAAATCTGAATGGTTTTACCCATCTGGTCTAAATCAATCTACTAGTGCTGTGTCTTCCTAAGCTTTCTCTAGCTCTGTGATTTAAAATCTCAATCGCAAAATAAGGGATATTAACTCATTATTTGCTATTGTGTTGTAATGATTACTTCATCTTTAGCTACTATTTCTGTCAAGGAATTAGAGAAATAAAATGCGTAAAAAAGCCACCTTCTGGCATATCTTTACATAATAATATACCACTTCTTGGTATATTATTATAGAATTCAGGTATTAATTCTCCAAAACATGTCCTGTTTCTGCTTACCTCACTCCAAACATGACCTGAAGTAAAGTGCAAATACCCGACACAAAAAAGATGGTGCTGATCAGGTGGCTTTGAGTGAGTGAATCATGCTCCAGGCACAGCGCTCTGAACAGGATCAGGGGAATGCCAATGATGCCACCAAATGCAGTCAAGTAGTGCTGAAAATGAAACAAGGGCAGTCATTCAAGAATGGATGCAAACTTTTAAATATTAGTAAAACTGTTATAAAAAGAGGCAATATAAATATCTTCAATCTGAATAACCAGAAAGCCAGAGATGATTAATTTTCACATTCTCGTAACAAACTAACTGCATGCTGAAAACATTAACTGAAAGGTGTTTAACATAAATCTTTTATACAATTCCTTGCAAAAGTATTCAGACATTTGCACATTTTTTTCCTTGTTCTTTTTCACATTTTGTTTCCTTAAAAATTTGAACTCATGACACGATGTGACACATGAAGTCGAAATTATTTTTTCTGACAGCGTATACACAACCTATGATTGTTAAGTATTTAAGACCTTCACAAATCCAAATTAATTTAGGTAAACAAATAGCCTTAACAAGTAATCCAATTAGCTGAGTGGTCTCTGCAATAATAATAATTGATTCAGTTTCATGATTTCAGATTTAATTTACCTAACTGTTTATGAAGAAATATTATAGTAATATAATATTTATTTGACCATTGGGAAGCTCATCATTATGAAGATGAAGTCACCCAGAAACCATACTGTAGATCGGCTGTCCTTCCAAATTGGGAAACCAGGCAAGGAGAAAACTGGTTAGGAATGTTACTACACCTTTAAAGAATTACAGAATTCCATGGATGAAATGGCGAAAAATATCCATGGCTGAACAATATAACAGTCACTTCACAAATAGGGGCTAGTAAGGAATTGAAAAAAAAACTTTTCATAAGTGATTGCTCTTGAGTGACCAGTAAAAGTCCTAACTTGAATCGTATTAGGATTCTCTGGAAAAAAAAATGAAAACTGCTGGTCAAAAGCAACTTGAGAGCTCAAAGAAATCGACTAAGAAGAGAGGGCATAAATTGCACAAAGCCCACATGCAAAGTTGGTAGATGCTCACCCAACATGGTTTGTGGCTGTTGCTTCTGCCGTAGATGTTTCTACCACATACTGAGTTCAGAGGTCTGAAGACTTATCAACATAATTCAGTTTTTTCTCTTTATTTTGGGCTCTCTTTGTTGTGACACATCTTACCCTTAAACATCTTCAGTTTAAGCATTCAGGTTTTGAGTAAACTATAACAATATAAAAATGTGAATGCATCACTGTGTAATGATTGTGATTGTAATTGTCACAAAATGGAACATCATAAGAATGATCTGAATATTTTGGCAAGACATTGAATGGAATGAGTGCATGGTTACTCTACACATGCTGACAGTTGCTCACAGACACCACTTCATAGATAGTGGTGAACTCTGATAAAGACTATTTTGCTGCAGCAGAATAGTTTTTTTTATTTTTAATGCTTTATTAGAAAACAGTAGGAATCATAAAATGATTCAAACAATCATTGGAATGATTGATATATAAGGTATAATATAATATAGCAAATATAACATTCCTGAACTTTCAAGATGTACATTATAGATGAAGTTTTTGTTTCAATTACAGTACACCAATACATTTGAAACCATTTCTATGTTACTGTATTGTGGCAATTGATTAAATATCATAAATATGAAATGTTACTGATAAAAATGATCACTGTGGAACAGCACAGAGTTACATACAAAAACCATAAACATAATTTATTGAAATGATTACGCCAATATTGACTGCATGTTCACCTTTTCTGTTTCTCTTTGTCACACCTAATTTTATATCAATATCAATATGAAGCCCATTTTTCTTGCTTTCAGCACCAACACTATTACTAGTACTATTCTTTCTATACTTTAAGCATTACAAAGCTATTTGAAGATAAATATGCACAACAGGGTAATGAACAACTCAAATGTGTGTGACATGATGGCAGCTCAAAATTCAAACTTACTCTCCATTGTTCTGAGAAAGAGCCACATAAAAGGTTTTTGGCAGGGGATTTTAAAATCATGCGACTCAATTTATCAAAAGGGGACTCCATGTATTCCATTTCTATTTCACACATACACATGTGTGTTTGTCTTACCTGTCTGAAATATCATACTATACCAGAGAACAGTCACCTCCAAAGACGACTACACACCGGCACACCGCACAAAAGAAAAGAAAGTGCTCAGCCGGTGCTCAGGCAGCCCCTATCAGATCCGACATTATCACAATTGTAATACTATTTCGCCAGTTCTTCCTCCTACTTCTGGCTCCTTGGTATGACTGTATGTGCTCTGTGCCCCAAATCGGGACCTTCAGCTGGCTTTTTAAATCCAGTTCATTCCTCACAATGCATTAATGATATACAGTACAGTACGTTCAATTGTTTTATTGTTTTACAATCTGACAATCTAAGATCAAATGCATTTGACAAATTACATTATTAAATGCCCCCCACTGTGTTTTACAATCATGAATGAAAATGCATTAAAGCGAAACTGAAGAGTAAAACAGACCCTTGGCATTATACTTGCAGTACTGCATACTATTCCCCCACCGAAGCAACCTACTGCACTACGTGCGCTTTAAGCATGTGACATAAGCTCTCCTTACCTAGAAAATTTTATTATGGAACCACAGTCAAATTTACATAAATCATGTCTTGTATAAATTCAAGCAGAAGGTATACTGTAGTAAGACATTATACAGTACCCATTTCTAATTGCAGATTAATAAATACTTATAATATATAAAACATTTGCAGACAACAGAAAGAGTGACACTTTTCATTAGTATATAGTTGTTACACAAGCCAAAAAAAATGGCTGTCATTTATCTAATAATAATAATTATAATAATAATATAGCACTTTTCTGGAAACTCCAATCAAAGCACTTTACAGGTTATGGGGACTCCCCTCCACCACCACCAATGTGCAGCATCCACCTGGATGATGTGACAGCAGCCATAGTTCGCCAGAACACTCACCACACATTAACTATCAGTAGGGAGGAGAGCAGAGTAATGAAGCCAATTCATAGAGGGGGATTATTAGGAGACCATGATTGGTAAGGGCCAACGGGAAATTTGGCCAGGACGCCAGGGTTACACCTCTACTCTTTTCGAGAAACGCCCTGGGATTTTTAATGACTACAGAGAGTCAGGACCTCAGTTTTACATCTCATCCAACGGACGGCACCTGTTGGGGCATTAGGACCCACACAGACCGCAGGGTGAGCGCCCCCTGCTGGCCCCACTAACACCTCTTCCAGCAGCAACCTTAGTTTTTCCCGGGAGGTCTCCCATCCAAGTACTGACCAGGCTCACACTGCTTAGTTTCAGTGGGTTGCCAGTTGTGGGTTGCCAGTGGGTTGCAGGGTGATATGGCTGCTGGCCATCTACAGTAAGCTAGAGGTACTGTACCTAGAACAAGATATCAATGCAGCTAGGAATTCCTGATCTAGGGTATTTGCTTTGATGACATCAGACAAAGTCAATTATCAATTGACTTGTGGTGAAATACTTTTTTCTTAATATGCCAGAAGGGAATTTGTTATTGCTGATTAGCTTCAACAAAGAAAAAACTTTTTCAGTAAAGATCTTGAGTGACATTTAGTGACATTTAGTGAAATGGGCTCCTAGAAGAGTTTTTTATTGCATTTTGTATTTATTTACAGTATAATATAACAATATAATATTAAGTAATGATGTAAAGAATGGAACTCCCTACCTGTGTCCCAAGGATGATGCACATGTACCAGGGTGGGACATCAGTGACACAGTACACCAACTTGTTCATCCTTTCCTCATTTGTAGAGTCCAGGACCTCACCATTGTCTGCGTCTGGCATTTCACAGAAGTTATCCACACCCTTCATAAGGAAAAGTGTCACAGTATTTCATAATGTCATTTGAAATGCATTAAAAATTTCTCTAACAACATGAGTTTCAATTTTTCTCTCATTACATTTTCCTATGAAATGATAAAATGTATATAGTGATTGTTAGTTACTGCTGAATTTTGTGTAGTTTGATTACCCTACGCTTATTATGGTATCACTTCATTTAACTAATTTTTTACTTTCTTGGCAAAAAGAAAGATTTTGATTTGGAGACTTCCGGTTCTGGTTAAAAGGGAATGGTAGCGTGTTGTGAATTATTTCCTTAATATAACCATGTATGATTACTGCTGTTTCTTTCCTCCATCCACCTGGGGAGTCACTATCCCTACTTCTCGGCGTAAAGTTTCAAGACCATTGTGAATTGGCACCGACTTAAAAAATGTACTCTTTTTATCATGCATGGAACACACTCTATACTGCCCCCTGGCTCCCCGAGACTGGCAAGATCAACACTACTAAACACCACTAAACACCCGCTCTGTGAACAATAAAGCTCTTCGCATATGTGACTTTATTACAGAAAAAAAACTTAACTTCTGTGCTTAACCAAAACCTGGCACAGATAAAATGATGGTCTCCTGTTCAACCAACTTGTCCCTCATGGATACCTTTTTTTTTACCTCCCTCATATCACAGGCAGAGGTGGGGACATTATTGTTATTTATAATATCCTTTACAATTTAAATTCTGTTACTGTACCTCTGCTCTCTCGAGTGTCTTGTTTAAAATATCTCCGTTCCCCCATTCTACTATCATCACCATGGTCTATGGACCACCTAAACCTAATGAGGCCTTTTTCGGTGAGTTTGCCGTTTTACTTTAGTTTGTATGTCTCAGACTTAAGTGGACCCTTAATCTTGGTGACTTTAATATACATATTGAATTGCCCTACAATTTAGCTAAGGATTTTCTAACTCTGTTGGGTTGCTTTGATCTAATCCTGTTTTTAGCCCAACACATAACAAAGGACGCAATCTTCATTTAATCATTGCAAATGACTCTTTTGTTTCTCACTTCTTTTCCCTCTAACTAGGCTTCTCTGACCACTTAGCTATTCTCTTCAATCTGGAACTACCTGTTTCTAACACTTTCCCTTACGCTCCCTAAGTTTTCTCAATTAGCGATCAGTTGATCAGCTTAGGTTCTGCTCTATCCTTCTTATCTTCTTCTCTACCTCTGATCATCTAGAGGACAAAATACATTTGCTTCATAGCATTATTTTATCTACACTCCACACCTTCGCTTCTCTAAAAACTCAAACCATCCCTTTGTCACGATTGTGACAAATCCCTTCCCCTTAAGGGCATTCCAGCTCTTTCACATTTTAGTTGATTTTGTGTACCTGCTCCCTGTTCCAGCACACCTTAAAGGCAGACCCTCACTCTCTTCCGGGCTCTGCACTGGAACACGGACACCCAGAGGACACCCTACTACCGAGTCTCCCTACATCCGCAGCTTGAGGGCATAGGCCTCCTAACGGCGTCCCAAACCAGCCAAGTCCAGGACTTGGAGTGCCTGGTCCCATTACCCCATTAATATCCCTGACCCTTCGCCGGATCCTGCCCCAGTTTTTCACTTTGTCATCTGTGTCTTGGATTGGATCACCCGGCCCTGGACTCTTGCCTGCTCTGGATTTCCCTTCAGACTCCCCTTGGAGTGTTTGCCTGGACCATGCCCCCCGAGCATATGCTCACCTTTGTCACTCCCCCTTGTTTGTTTACCAGCCCAGTTCCTCGTCTCCTCCTGTGTCTGTTCACTCCCTTCTGGATTCTGCTGTCTGCATAGGGTCCTGAAAAATGCTTCGTAACACTCTTTTTCTCGCTCTGCCCCTTGGTACACCAACCATCTGCGCTCAGTGATGGCAGTCTCCCAGAAACTTAAACATAGGTGTGTCTTTATGGCCTAAGTGTACATTATTAGCCTTGGAAAGATTACTTGTTTGAATATAAAGATACGATAGACTCTGTTACATCCAGCTACTTCTCTCACATCATTAAAAATAACTAAAACAATGCTAGACATCTTTTCTCCACCATCAACAGACTTATAAAGCCAAACTGCTCCACCACATTACCTACCCCATAGCAACTTTGTAACACATTTTTAAATTTCTTTAGCTCCAAAATCGACAACATTCAGCATCACGTTCTCTCCACAACACGTCACTTCCACACCTCCTCCCTGCTAGCCTAACTTTCCTTGTCTCCAACTTCTCTCTCCTTAACTCTGCATCCCTCAGTAAACTGGTTTTGCATATGAAATCAACCACCTGCTTATTACATCCCATTCCCACCACTTTATTTCAATAGTATTTCACTTCTCTCTGCACCATTGTGTTCAATATAATAAATTAATCCTCCAATCTGCCATGGTTTAAGTCACTAATGATCTACTAATAGCTTCTGATTCTGGTTCTCTTTCTGTCCTCATTCTTCTTGATCTTAGTGCTGCTTTTGTCACTGTTAACCATGATATGTTACATTCTCGTCTTGAGACTGTTTGGAGTTTCTGACACTACTCTTAAATGTTTCAAGTCTTATCTTATTGATCGTCAGTCTCTTAACAGATTTAGCTCTGAAAATTGGACTTGTTAAGTGTGGTGTTCCTCAGAGCTCGATACAGGGACACCTACTTTTCAGCACTTACAGGTTTCCACCTGTTCAGCTATTAAGATCTCAAGGCCTCAACTATCACTTCTGTGCAGACAATATTCAAATGTACATCCATACCAAACCTGACACTGATGTGACTGTCTCTATTCTCTCTGATTGCATCTCTGACTTTGAAACATGTATGATTCAAAATTTCCTTAATCTAAACTGACAGGACTGAAGTCCTGCTTATTGGCATCCTCCATTGCCTTTCTAAATGCGGTAACCATATCAGTGATTGGTACCGTACTTGAGCTTCAGTCTAAATAAAAAAAAACTTGGGTGTGATGTTTCATTTAGGCGTGACATTCAACCCACATGTGCAACATACTGTATTGTCAAACATAATTATTTCACCTCAGAAATATTGCTTATACTAAATTATATCCTATGTTATTGCTCACTGTTGCTGAAAATCTGATCAACACATTTGTCTTCTCCCGATTTGACTACTGTAACATTCTACTCGCTGGGGTTTCTAAATCCACATTGAACAAACTACAGTATGTCCAGAATTCAGTAGACAGAATCCTGACCATTTCTAGTGCAAGTGATCAAATTACTCCTCTCCTGTCTTCCTGTCAGGTTTTGTGGCAATTTCAAAATCCTCATGTTCACCTATAATTCTCTGCATGGCCCGAGCTACTTATTGTCCTACTGCCCACCTTGCAACCTATGTTGTCCTAATTCTGGTCTCCTATCTGTCTCCATCTACACTCTGTGAGTGACAGGGCCTTCTCTGAAGGATATAAGATAATCACCTTCCCTAAACTCTTTCAAATCTCAAAACTTCTTATTTAGAAGGGTCTTTACTTAAATGGTTCTGTTATTTATCCTTTTGGTTCTACCATATTCGGTACCCCATCTACTGTACTGTCTCCTCTCACTGTGTATTTTCATTGTACTGTACATATACTGTGTATTTTATTTTGTTGTTGTTCAGTAAAAAGCTTTGCGAAGCTACCTTTAAAGGTGCTATATAATTTTTTCACAAATAACAGTCGTCCAACACCTTAACCTTACTACAGAAATTCCCTGACAATAACTACAGTATAATCTGTATATTTTAATTATATCCAGTATCTAAAAATGATTTACTGTGACGGGTGTCCATCCATTGAGAACAAGACAACATTTCATGGATTTTAAATTTAATTTCAAATAAATTATCAAGCAATCACAACTTGACTCTAAAGAAGTTGAATTTGCAGTATTTAACAAACAATAATTAATCCTTACACTTATAAAAAAAAATTCTGGACACTCAGCTCAAAGCTCTTTACAGGTAATGAGCACACCCCTCCACCAATTTGTGGCACCCACCTAGATGATGCAACGGCATTACTGGAAAAAAACAGGGGAAAATTTGGCCAGGACACCAGATTAAAACCCCGTACTCTTTTCGAGAAATGCCATGGGATTTTTAATGACCATTTCAAATCAGGACCTCCATTTTCTGTCTCATCTGAAGGACGGCACCTATTTTACAGTATAGTGTTTCCATCACTAAACTGGGGCATTAGGACCCACGCAGATTGCACTGTGACCCCTCCCTACAGGCCCCACTAACATCTCTTCCAGCACATAAATTAGGTACTTGTTATGTCTTCCAGGTATCTTTATTTTATTTCAGTCTATAGTGTGATAAATTCATTTTCAACTTAACATTGACATGGAGGTAAGTACAGTTTATATTCATAATTAAAACAGGCTCAATATGACAATAATTACATAAGGTGACAAATGTCTTCTGTTTTTGTGATATTCATTTTAAATTCATTTTAATATGGTAGAGCCTTGCTAGTTTTCATAGGTAAATTAAAACTAAACCTGACACCTGTAGAAGACTTAAATGTTTTCTCTTTCTGCTTTTCAGTGGTGAAGTAACCAATTCTTCGTAAACATGAACAGAGTTAAATATACTATGAAAATCTAGCAAGCTTATTGGACAATTGTGTGACAGCAATCACCTTAAAATAAACAGAGAAACATTACATACTCAAAAGCAAAAACAGATTGGAAAGAACAGAATCAATTAGTCAGAACCATTCTGCATAGCAACGAAAGAAGTTACACAGGTATAAATAATATTAGCTAGTTGTAAATGCTTAAATAGATATTTACTAGTAAAATTTACTAATATCTAAACATTCATTCTTAGCCAATTTTCGACCTGAATAACAATTACAAAACATCAGCACAATACAGTATATATGAGTTTGCGGAATTATATAAATAAGTCAAATAAAATGTTCTCTAATTTAAAGGGTAAAGACATGTAAACTAGAAGCATGTTACATATTAATCCTAAAACTGTGACAATTTTTGCTGCTCTGCAATGGTAATAATATCTATACCTCAGGACTTTCTAATTATGCTTTTCTTAAAACAAACTTTTCTTAAATTGTAAATATCGATAACAAGTGAGAAAGTATGAATTCCTTAAAATTGCTTACACTTATATAGCGCTTTTCTGGACACTCCACCACAACCAATGTGCAGCATCCATCCACCAGACCACTCACCACACATCAGCTCTCAGTGGGGAGGAGAGCAGAGTAAAGAAGCCAATTCATAGATGGGGATTATTAGGAGGCAATGGGAAATTTGGCCAGGACACCAGATTAAAACCCCTACTTTTTTCGAGAAACGCCGTGGGATTTTTTTAATGACCACAGAGAGTCAGGACCTCAGTTTTATGCCTCATCCAAAGGACAGTGCCTGTTTACAGTATAGTGTCCCCATCACTATACTGGGGGATTAGGACCTACATATACTGCAGGGTGAGCGCACCCTGCTGGCCCCACTAACACCTCTCCCAGCAGCAATCTTAGGTCTCCCATCCAGGTACTGACCAGGCTCACGCCTGCTTAGCTTCAGTGGGTTGGCAGTTGTGAGTTGCAGAGTGATATGACTGCTGGCCAATATATACTGTAATATACTACTCAGATCTGACATATCTCTTCATTGTGAAACTGACACCCTAAGCTACCTTGAGCTACTAAGTATCCAGCTACTTTTTCATCCATGTTACAATGTAGTGATAATAGAACAGTTTGGATGAAAATTAACATAACCCTTGCCAGTACAACAGACACCAAACATCACTTCAAACAAATGTCCTGCTTAAATAAGCCTTAATTTCTCATAAATATCCACACATGCTCAGAACATCTAAAGTAACTCTCCTTGTGCTATTGATTTTGAATAATCTTCAAATTCAAAGAGCATGATGGTTTATGTCCCACTTTTTGCTCTTCCTAAATGGAGTCATATAGCAATTATGTAGTTGATAAAGTACTATGTCAGCTTCAGTTTTATGTCAGAGGAATCATTAACAATATACCATGGTTAATGGTTAACATTAAGATGTATTTTTATTTTCTTTGTCCTGAAAGAAAGATCTGATGATAAAAAAATCTAAACATATTCTACTTAAATTAATAAATTAGATGTCACAGGTTAGAATACCAAAATAAATTGCTGATTTATAATCTCAAATAGTCCTATTTAAATATTTTCATATAAAAAGATTAGATTTTGTGAAAACATTATTTTGATATCTCTTCACTCACGAATTTGGAAATAGATAAAAGTATGGTATATCCATGTAAGAAAATGTGTAACCTACAGTATACGTATAATATATATATACTGTATCTTACTGAAGATAGCCTTGTGGATCTTTGAAGAAAGAGTTTTTGTGGATCTACAGGTAATCATAGGTTTTTCTTTAGTATTCCATTCAAATAGATGTCACTGATGTAGGTTTATAAACTACCTATACATTCTGGAAGTGTTTTACTGTTAAATAAATTTATAAAATCATTTATTTTTATTCTTTTTTGTTAAATTAATCATAATTGATGTTTATTTAATATTCTTCTTAACTCTGAATACTGCATGGTGAATTATTTAAACAGAAAGTAAAATATGAGCTATTAAACACAAGTGTTTTAACAAATCAAGAACAGTGTTTTTAATCCTAAAAAGATTATTCTGTGTGGTGTGACTAAAGCCCTGTAATCTTACAAGTTGAAGCCGATGTTGGCTTTTATGCATCTGTGAGATAAAACACAATATAATTGAACATGATTTAACAGCTGGAAAATATTAAACTGAGAATTAAATAATTTAGCATAATTCTTAGTATATAGAATAGGATGTTAATATAAAAAATGTGCAATGTATATGGGGAGATGGGGAGGATTTGGAGGCCAAGTGCTAGATGCACATATATTAATTGCTTTTAATTGGTATTGTTATGTTAGGAAACTCATAGAAGAGCTGATTAAACACTAACATTGAAATACCTTGTGAAAGCAGAACAAATTAAAATGTGGTTACTGCAATACCAAAACAAGAAACATTTTAAGCCCCCAAAGTAGTTAAAATTATACTGAAAATGTGGTGTCTTAAAGCATCATACCCTGCTGCTGTGTTTAATGCACTCAGAAACATTATTTTAACTTTAAACACCTCTTTAAAAAGTGCTTAGCAAAACACTTTTAAAAACAGTTGTGTATTATTAAATTTGTACCAAATATCTGGAAAAAAACAGTATTTTATCTCAATAAAGTCATAGATAAAACCATAAATAGCTTGTTGCTTTCTTCATCTTTTTACAGCTGCAAAGGCTGCAAAAAGTTCCTTTCGTTCTGGAAGGTAGTAGAGGTCAGCAATACTACTTAAAAGCCAAACACACTTAACTTAACTTAAATGTTAAACAGTATTACAAACAAAACGTCTAATAGGAATATACAAATATACTTACAGAAAAAGAATAATTCTCCAAACCATTCCTTTCTTTTTCAGCAGCCATGCTTCTAAACACGTGCTTAACAAAAAGTGATGGGGAAGAAATTACCATGAAGAAACACAAAGCCAAGGCTGTTCAGAGCGAATGCTGTGATTGTAAGAAAACAAATCTTATATACTTCTCATGTGAATGCAATTACACAACCACTACAGCTGACCAGGCTGTGACTGCACCTTCTGTACAGGGGCATTTTCTCTACTGAAAGTTTACTAAATAGTAACAGAACGAGACTCCACCCCACAAAATGAGCTTGTCACAAGCCTGCTCATGATTACTTACTTGTCACAATCCCCAACATACTGTAGTTCCAGATTCACCATTCTTCTCCCAGACCTCAGTCAAAACGTAGCCAATAACAGCAATAATAATAATAATAAAAAATCACTTTGAAGTACAGTGTGCGCATCCTGCTCCACTCAGTGCTTTAATTATTTTCATGATTTCATATATACAGATATATGAATCAATTTTCTAATCACGTCATCAAATTCAGAATTACAGGGAAGCTGGAGCCTAACCTGGCAAGCAAAGGGCACAAGGAAAGGTACACCCTGGAGGGAATGCCAGTCCATTGCAAGGTATAGACGCAGACACATGCACATTGACATCAGGGCCAATTTTACAGGAGGACAATTAACTTACTAGTATGTCTTTGAACTGTGGAAGTAAAACAGAGCACCCAGAAAACCTACATGAACATGGGGAAAACAAACAAACTCCATGCAGAAAAGTAAATAATTGAAAAAATGTTTCTGAAGTTCAACTTTAAGTTTAAAATGATAAACAAAGACAGCAACCATTTTCCACGCTTGCCTACCCTCAATAATAAGATATCCTGCTTATAATTTGTTTGATGAAATTACAATATGGTAAGGGGTCTGTTTTTTCTTAATGAAAGAAGAGAGAATCTTGAGCTAATATCAGGAATAGCAAAAGAACAGAAAACTAGATCACATGCATCAGATTTGTATACCAAGAAACAGTATGCCATTCATTTTGTAAAAATTTAATTTTTTTTTTACAATTACTCCACTCTTCTATTTGGGTCTCTTTCGTATTTAGAGACAGAGGAAATCAGTGGCTTGATGGGATTACTTTTCTTTCATCACACCAAACACTGATTTTATTAATTCTAAATCCATCACATGATTGTTGAGTAGCATTGGATCATTGAGAAAGATATGCACAGAATAAGTGTCTAGTGTTGAAGCTGTCTATAATATGTTTCACCAGTATCAGCTTACAGTATTAACAGTGGAGATTTTCAGAATTTTTTAATATTCCCTTTGAAACAAATTTTAAACCATAAAAAACAAAACATTAAAAGGTTTACTGGGGCAACCTGAACTGCTAGAACCAGTTATCTTATCTTTTGAGCTTCCTGAATCAAATTGTAAATGGTTGAATACTGAAAAAATACAGATTTACAGAACTTGTTAATATTGGCATTGTATTTTACTCAGAAAACAAGATGTCTGGTTTTATACACATACAGTACAGTGCTTTGAAAAGTATCCCCTTCCAATGATGTCCAGTTTTGCTGAATGAATAATGACCTATACACATTTTTAAGTCAATATTTTTAATCAGAACTTTAAAACTCAAACTGAGCACCTACGAGTGAAAGATGTTACATGTCAGCAAAAACTACAAATAAGTAAGAGCATTCACTTTAAAAACATGTATTTAACATTTGTTATTCAACAAAATGTGACAAAGAAAAGGGTAAATACACTGTACAGATGCAGCCATCTAGAATGTGCTCCATTTTGTGTCTGCATTTTGGAAAGTATAACCATGCCCCTGTTCTTCCTGTAACAGTAGCTACAGAAACAGAAACCTTGAGTTTCTTGAGAAAACAGGTAAATGGTATAGAATAATTAGTGCCAGCACCTGAACTAGAGCTCGCTTCAGAGCCTCAAAGGCCTCTTCTGCCTCTGCATTCCATTGTAAAGGCTCTGGGCTAGTTAGAAGGCTGATATTTAGGAGGGGGTGAGCCAGGGCAGCAAAGTCCAATATACACTGACAGCAGTAGCCAGCCATACCTAGAAATGTTTTCATTTGCTTAATGGTGATTGGTTTTGGCATTTTAACAATGGCCTGAACATGCTCTGGTGAGAGAAGGCAAATGTCCGCTAAGGAGATGACCTAGATAAGTGACAGTGGTTTTACAAAACTGCAACTTGTCCTTTGACGCCTTGTGGCCTTTATTAGCCAACACTGTTAAAAGAATCAGTGTGTCTTTAATAAATTCTTCCCTTGAAGGTGAGGCAATCAATAAATCATCAACATACTGGACAAGGGTAGAACCTCCTGTAAGCACCACGTCACTCAGGTCTTCTTGGAGGGTTCTGGAGAACAGTGTAAGGTTCTAATAATCTAATAAAAACTGTGAATCTGGGTAAATAGGAACAGAGACAAAAACTGAGCACAGATCGACAACATAATGCTGGGCGATAATTCAATGACAATAATTATCGCAATATAATTTTCCTCAATATAATTTTAACAAAAGTTCAACAAATGTTCAATATATATGTTTATGCTTTGCGCATGATATGCGCATGCACACAAAATACTGTGCGTGCATGTTGCAGACCGGGCAGCTAACGTGGTGTTGTTTACCCACACGGTGGTGGCTGACAGGATCGTAGTTACTGTGGAGAAATGAGTGACACTGAAGCAAATATAGTGCTGCCAACGACCAGCTCGAAGGACGATGACATCGTCGACAGAAAAGGTCATTCAACCTTATCACACTGCAGTATTTAATTTTTCTATTAAGATTTATTTTGTAAATTTTACTCATGCATATTTTGACATAAAAAGACTTGAATACTCTCTACCTCAGATTTGTTTAATGTTTCTGCTGTTTGGCAAGTGTTTGTTGTGTTCTTAAAATAAAGAGCTGTTTAATTTACCAATTAACTGTCTGGTTTCTTCAACTTTCACTCAGGAGAAAAAATCTGCCTTTAACCTTGAAAGAAATAATGATTTGACATTTATCGTGATAATTATCGATATCGACTGATATGAACATTTTTATCGTGATAATGTTTTTGGCCATATCGCCCAGCCTTACGACAACATAATAATGAGTGATGTTGTTAGGAATGCTAGACAAAATAGTAGCGGGGATTAGGCACCATAGGGTAAGCAGGAATAACATACTCAATTTAAGTCCTGCACAAAACACCACATCTCTTTTCGTGGCTTCTTAATTGGTAGGATGGGAAAATTACAAGGGCTAACACAGGGCACTATAAAGCCTTGCTGTAAAAGCGACTAAATAACCGGAGCAATACCCTTCTCCTCTGCAGGTTTTAGCGTGAATGGCGGTTTTCTGGGCAATGATCTATACGGGTCTATTACAACTCTAATAGGGGCCCTAGCTTTAATTATTTATACATCATTTTAATGAGAGGCCTGAGGGACAGAGCTCAAAAGAGTTTGCTCATCACTATTAAAGTGTTCAATCACTGCACCACGAGAGCAGGCAGCCAATTTCTGACACTCAAAAATGGTGTTCATTACCTGGGACTTCTGTTCCTAAGGAGTAAACACCAATGCCTCTAATCTGTCCTAATTCTACCCTGTGTATCTCACTTTCTTTCAATCACGTAAGCATATAGCCAATCTCCTTAGCTTCGTGACCTTGAGCTACTACCAGAGTCATATGTGGAGTTACAGCTTTAGGCTGGTGAATTAGCAGTTGCTGCTTAGGTATTAATTCTATTTCAATACCCATTCCTTCCTTACCGATAAAAACTGAGGAAAGGTTCAGAGCATAAGCGTTACCTAAATACAGAGTGATCTTTTTCTCATCCTGAGGATCTCAACATCTGCATCAAAGTAAGCCTTACAGTGCAACTGTTCAAGCCAATTCTCCATCTTCACTTGTTGCTCTGAGCACCACTGTTCTACAGGCTGACCTGGTGCATTAAGCCCTTTAAAATACGAGAAATATCTGAACTTGTGGCTTGCCACCAATATACCCTATCTTCTGTAATCATTTCTAGAGGAGACGTTATGTAACCTTGCTGGTTTTCTGATGTTTCTAAATAAACCCCTTCAGGAGTGCATTTAATTGTGCACCGATACTTACAGAGCAGGTCTCTTCCCATCAAGTTCACTGGAATATCAGAAGCCAAGAAGAAAGTATGTTTCTCAGAATGTGGTCCAAGTTCTAGAGTTATAGGTTCTGTTAGAAGGACTGGATTAGAAACTCCGGAATATCCTACTGTGTTAACAATTCTTATAGGGGTTTTTAATTGAACCTGTGTCAACCAGAAAAGACAATGATTTCCCTGCCACTTTAAGAGTGACAAAAAGCTCAGTGCTAGCATTAGAAGTAAGCATGAGAAGTTACAGAGAGGTCACGTATAGGGTTTCCTATTTTTCTTTAAATGGATTTTGCATGGTTCACGGGGCAGGGTTGCCTGCTACCGCTCCAGGTTGATTGGGCACTCTAGGTCGATTTACACCTGGTGGGCCATTCTGAGCTTGATTCAGACAATTCCGTGCCCAGTGGCCTAATCCTCCACATAATCTACAAACATCTCTCCCTCTTTGTCTTGGGCGGACCCAGTGACCTCTTCCTCGTCCTCGAGCTCCACTGGACTCGGTTCCTCATGTCCTCTAATTGCAGAGACCTAAAATTAGTTTGTGCATCATCCTCTTTCAACTTAATTTGTCTAGCACAATGTTGTAAAGTAGGTAATAACTCCTTGCTGCCTTTAGATTCCCAATCCTTGTTACTTCAGCCTTTAATTTTGGCAACAGCCCATTTACAAATGCAGTACCTAGAGGAGTACCAACTTCCTGTTCCCTCAACCCAGAATGTCTGACAAAAATACATATTAATATCTTGAGATATTCATTAACATCTTCTCCAGCTTTTTGTTTACATAGACTTATTTTCGACCAATTAGCGTTGAGGACAGATCTTTTCTATTGCTTCTAAGAGTCAGTCTTTAGGCCTTCTGGGATTATCCTCATTATCCGGATCACATCCTGGCCAAATTGCCTCCTCTTTAAGAGGGCGCAGTAAACCTTTAGGAACAGTATGATCTAGCAACAAGACTATGTCACTTTAATTGGGCTTATAATAATAACAAGGCTTAAATGTCTTCTAAGTTCTTTAGGATCCCCAGGCAATTTGGGAAAAGACTTGACTAAAGCAA